CCACCCAAGAAAGAGCATCAGCACCACCAGCACCCCAAAACAGAGAACCCAACTTTGTATATAAATTTAATGTTGCCGATCTTATGTATTTTTTATGAAAACTGGGAAATAGGCCTATAAAGAACTAAATTTTCATCATCCTAGGTCAGTGCTTATGTGAAGACCTAACTTCTCCCCCAAATTCTTAAACCTAACACTTTTAAGAGGGGTAAAGGGTAAATTGGATCCAAGTTCAGTCTTCTAAAAAGGGTTAGGGTTATTATTCTACAAAATACTCATTTATACAAAGACAAAGCGGTCATTGTAGATTTGTTATTATTGGGGATCATGGTGGCTAACTGGGTAAGACGCTGGCTCGCTAGCCTGGAGGTCGGGTGGTCGATCCCTGCATTGGCCGAGAAAGTTCATCCAGATTTTCTGGTGTTGTTCCCCCTTGTCAGTGATGCAGGACAGCTGTCTAGTCGTTCGGATGGGACGAAAAATTTCCCTCATGGCACACTGTATGGCGTCTGCCCGTTTTCATTTCGCCCAGTTCGGAGCATAACAGTAGGACGTTAAACCCCATTTCATTTCATTTCCTATTATTATTGAGGGCACTTTCTGATTCATGACGTCATGCAGGAAATACGTCACACTTTTAGTAACATGACGTCAAATTAAATAAGCGGGAGACTGAATTTTAATGATACAGAAATGAACACGATTTAATTGGATCTTTATTCATAGGTAAAATATGAGGACCAGTTTGGTTGTTGTAGCAATTATTTTTAGTGCGACTTGTGTTTACAGTACCGTGGATCTAAATATTCACGAATTACAGTATGTGGCCGATCATTTAACTTTAAAAGAGTGCATCAAACTGGAATCAGCTCTACAACAGAAAAACTTCCAATTAGACGTTCAAGACCCCAATCTGTATCGTAAACCAAAGAAAGGCACAGAAAAAACACCATGTTTAGTTCGTCTGCTGAAATGGGATCGAGGTATTGCTCGCAAAAATACATTTCACAATTTAGCTATAAGGCTTAAAGAACTTGGTTTCATCGAACTCTCGGATAAACTTAGCAAAACTGTTTATCATGAGAAGGCGTATGCCATCAATAAGAATTTCTTGAATGATCCCTTTAAAAAGTTGATTCCAACGAAAGCTTTCTTATTAGATGAACCTAAAGACAGGCGTACTGAAAATATTGAACCGGCACCGACTGGAGAACCACCGTCAACGGTTAATATGGCTGTCTGGATAACGATTGCTTCTGTCTCTTTTGTTTGTATGATTTTGGTTGGATTCTATGTTTTTTGTCCCGTGGCGTTTTGCTTGATCTGGCAGAAGTCAGCACCGGAAGGATGCATTGTGGGATGCGAGTTGCTGAATGAACAATGTTCGTTCTGTTGTAAACGATGTCATAAACATTATAACAAACATCTTCTGGGAAAACGTAAATTCAAATCCAAATCGAAAGGTAGATCTAGAAGTAGAATCAGTTTACCGGAAGGTATGCCTCTTACAATAGAAGATTTCAATCGAATCAACCCTCTGTATAACGAGCCCTGACAATGGCTGACATAGGCAACTAGGCCCTACTGATAGATCATAACTCCGAGAAACTCTAAATCACATCTGAGAAGATATAAGCCCTAAACATCTTGTGACACGTAGGCCATATGAACACTAACTTGTTAAATGTAAAAAATAATCTATAAATTATATCTCTGAGAATGGAAACATTTGTATATAATATGAGACTATACCACTGTATTAACTGAGAATATTACTAGCCTAATATTAATCCATTACTTTATTATGAACTGTAACTATGAGAGTATATAACTATTATAACCCGTAAATATGAGAGATGTAACTATTATATGCCGTAATTATGAGAGTATATAATAAACCGAAACTATTAAATAGTATGTTACTATTAAAATCCGTAACTATGAAACTATGAGAGTATGAAACTATTAGATAATGAGAATATTATGATTAACTTTATAGAAATGCATTAACCGTTCTGCTCCAACTGGGCTCATGAGGAGGGAAATTTTGCCCGGACAGCGGCGCTATGGCCTACTCTTGTATCGAATTCCAACTCCCAAGGGATCTTTTACGTGCACGCCAATGTGTACACGGGACCTCCGATCGAACGACTAGACAGCTGTTCTTGTCAAGCCCTCCGTCCCGCACCACTGACAGTGACAAGGGGAAACCACGCCGGAAAACTCCGATGAACTTTCTCGGCCAACATTGGTAGCAAACCCGCGACCTCCATGGGGCTAGCGAGCCAGCTTCTTACTAACTTAGCCAGCGTGTGATTGCTTTAAAAAAAAAAATGTTTTACCGGTTGTAATTTTATTACATTTTCAATATATAAATACATAATACACTGATTACATTTTCATAGATCTCCGTTGGTCCGTCCGTCCATTTAAAATATAAGACGAACCCTGTCGATAAACAGAATACTAGGCTATATAGGAAAAGAACTTATATAGACTTTGCCTGGACAGCCCTTTTCAAACAAAATATTGTTTAAACTAAATTAAATTAAATAATCAACATTCTCCGCAACCTTATGTTCTGTAGTTACCCCCGCGCCGAAAACCTTTTATAATGTGAACGTCCCCACCAATGCCCCAGTGTAGCACACTGATCCGCAGTGAATATTCGCTTGGACGCGACAATCACTGATAAGGATGACATCGATGCGGCTTAATGACTACAAAATATTAACTTTTTTCTTTCGACAAATTAAATTCTGAAACATTTTTTTTTAGTATTAGAAAAATAAATAAAGGTGTTTGAAGTATATCTTGATAAAAAAAATATTCCATATTTAGCGTAAATAGGTACAGAAAATAGTACGCGGAGGCGTAAAATGGGTAAAACGATATAATTTTGCACGTACCAGTTCATATTACTACGTTCGATGTAAACAACGCACGTGTGACCATCAATTTGACGTTTTTTTCTGTTTGTTTACTCTGAATTCTTTCAGAAGTATATTTTTTACCGTCTAATCTGATTGACCTGCTCGTGTTTGTTTTAAAACAACAAAAACAAGCCACAGAAGTAATCTTTTTTGGCGTTATCGATGCCATCTTGCTTTGTTGGTGAACATTGTGATGTGACGTCACCCTTAGAACAACAGCGGTCTGACCTTTTAAAGGTCAGTCATCTTGGACAGAGATAAAAGACGGATGTCGCATTAGGTCTGTAAAACAGATTGCCAGTGTAGATGCTTCTTTCTACCTTTAAAAAAAAAAGAGTATTGCATGGAGTTATTTCCCTTTTCTCGATTGGGTTCAGCTGTGAAAATTGCAGAAAGTTACACCACATCATAATATCCATCAATTTTAGAGAAGAAGTCAAAAATAAAACCAGGAGTCACCTTCCTGACCCCTGTGGTCACCTTCCTGACCCCTGTGGTCGTGCAACTTCATGTGAACGAAACTGAGGAACATTCATACGATTTTTTTTTATTATCAAAATCCTTCAACGACTTTCGGAGAAAAGGGGTGAGAGAGAAATGGGGTTTAACGGTAACTCGACACACATTAGTTCATTTCGAGATTAACATTTTATTTCATTAATTCGCTTTCGCGTAGGGATCTTTAGCAGTGGGAGGAAACCGGAGGTTGGACAGGCGACCCTATTCCTTGTCACGTAGAAGCGGGGAAGAGCTAATTAAAATGTTGGCTCGGGTAAGTCACTCGGTGGAAGCGGACGTAAAATACAATTCACAATGTAAAATGAACAGGAAAAAAACAAGATTTGAAAGTCAGCGCGAGGATTTCAATCATAAAATTGATTTTGGCAACTGGTATGAAATAAATGAAGGGACTTAAAATGTGAAGACCCCCAGCGCTGGAAATTGACAACTGGTTACTGCTGCAAAATTAAATTTTATTTGCTATAACCGACCACATAAATCAGTGTCCATATAACGAAACTGTCATGCCAGTTTTTCTCAGAAAAAGGACGCATAAACATAAATTACTCCGCCACTGAATTTAAATAATGTAATTGGGTATCCCACTGCAAGTTACACTATAAGTGGCGGTGACTGGGATTATTAATACTTTGTTTATTTTTATTTACGTCCCCTTTTTTTTTAAATTTTTACTTCACCAACGTTAGTACTGCACCTTTTACGCAAAGGATGAGGGGGGGGGGTCCTCCGGTTTTCTCCCACTGCTAAAGACCCAACGCGCAAGCGTATTTATTGAAATAAAATTGCACTATGTGTTACTCCCGAAATGACCTAGTTTGTGTTGAGTGGACGTTAAACCCCATCCCTCTCTCCTTTTACGCAGTGGTGGGCTTTTCCGTCGATATTATTCAGTTGGTTCATTTTGTGTTACTGACAGAATGCATACCACTGTTGCTTTTACTAGTACTTGCTGGAGAAACAGTCCAGAGCATTTTTTTCCTCCTACATTCACGGAAATAACGCCGAACAAACAATGGTGCGAAGTATTGCCACGTGTATGCACCTAAATAAGCAGAAATATTGTTTCAGCGCTTATGATCTTATAAACCTCATGGGTAATCCACCAGACTTCAAGCCATATTTGACGTTATTTGACCCACCGCTGATAAGTGACTCGTTTTACATGTCGTTTTACCGATTTCTGCTTTCTCGACCAAGTCTGAAAAAAGACATAAACCGATCAAACTAGTAGGCCTACATGATAACTAGTCTACAGTATTTTGCAAGACTGGCGGTTAGTCTACTGTGTGGGGTGTTAGGAGGATCGTCATTCTACAAATGGGTCGACTCTTGTAAACATATTAAGGATTCCTCGCTAAATGATATTATTTGACCCACACTATTGCCATTCTTCGATGACCTGCCAAAGAAAGGTAATAAATGGTATTATACGAAATCGAAGTGGCTAGGACCTATATATCAACCAACATAAGTTTTGTTCCATTTAATTGAACCGTGTTTTATTCTGATTTATTTAAATTCTCATTCACGATTCTGACACTGAACTTCAATAACAAAAATTAATTTATTGTACAATTGTTAGACGGTCTTTATACATTGCACTTTTTGCAAATTATTTACAGCACATTTAATCAAAAAGAACGACTAAATTAATTACACACACGTATATTTTATATATATCATATATATGTTAGAGTATACGAGGACACCAAACACATTAATAGCACTATAAATCTAATACAGTTTTTACTACTTTTTCCCGTCGTGTTTAAACCATTTAAATCAGAACGTAAATTTGGCGTTCGGGCTAAAATGTCTTTTGGACCATTACACAAGTCTGTAGCACAAGCACACATATTCATGACGTCATTAAAAATGCAGTCCATCCTGCCTCCGTGCGGTTCTCCGGTACACGTGTAAACTGTAAACTGACCTGAAAAATGGGAAGGAAACAATTTAGTTTAGTTGCTTTTAGAAACATATGTTTTGAATTTATTGCTAAATGGCTTCCTATTTTTAATTTATCACTTAGTAGCCTGTACAGTGATATTCAGATAGCCCGGTAATAATTTTAAATAAAAGCCATCATTAAAATTCTTGTAACATGAATGTTCTTGTAAAATGAAAAGTAATAGTCTAGTAGTTATTGCATGAAAACCGCATCATAATACACAATAACCAAATAGAAACCCAGAAGACGAAATGATAATGGGGTTTAGCGCCCCACTTTCCTGCACCAAACGGGTCAATGAAGACGGGTATATAGGCCATGCAGTGTTCTGCGAGGGAAATTTTATCAGTGCAGTGTCACTCTTCGTCGCATTTTTGACATATCAACGTGCACGCCAACTTGTAGGCCGGACCTCGGTTTTCGTCACATTCGAACGATCAGACGCTAGTCCTCCGTCCTGCAACCATGGAAAGAGGGAAACAACTCCGGAATACCCCAGGAACTTTCTCGGCAAACACAGGGAATGAATCCTGAATCTTCTGGTTACTCACTGTTCCGTCGTGACCCACATTCAGACGAATCCATGGCAAAACACATAGCACACACATGGTCAGTAATAAATATACTCTTCAAAAAAGTAGGGAATATTGAAATGCAAATACCTATGCAAGTTGTGATATGATAAATCGTTATGGACACTTGACATGCTTTGAGAGTATGTTCACAGATGAAGAACTTTTCGCTCCAACAGAACCACTGAGCTACATGTGCGACACGCAATAGCGCCATACACATGGGAGGAGTTCATTGTCAAATTTGACACTTCAAGGAAGGGTTGATGAAAACTGCCGCTTGCTGGTTTATCCCATCCATGTTTGCTTTCCTATCGGTTCTTGCATAAGATTTACTGTTTAGCGTATCTTTGCTTTAGTGTGTTACGTTTAATTTGATCGGGAGACGTGTTCGTCGACGTCAACGTCAATCGACAACACTGCAAGAATTGACCGTGGCACTGCAAGAGGAGTGGGTCAGATTGCCCCAAATCGTGATTGGACAGTTGATTAGGACCACGACGAATTGCTGCATGTCTGAGGATTGGTGGAGCAATTACTCATTATAAAGACAAAAAATCAAAAACGTCCATTTTCACTTTTGACAGTGTATCTCTTTGCGGGTGAAATGGGGCTGTTAGATAAGCCGCACATATGAACTGTTTATGTTCATGTGTAGGCAATTGGCATGTTATTTACATCCACGGGTTACCTCAACAGCAGTGCATTTCCGCAGTTTTGTATTGTTTCTGAATATCCCCTAGTTTTTTTAAGAGTATATATATTTTTTAATTTGGATATTTGTTTCGTCGTAGTTTTAGTGTAGTTATGGTCGTTACCAAATTGATGAGGGTGATAATTGATGATGACAAATGAAATGAAATGAGGTTTAACGTCCTAATGTTCTGCACCGGCTTGGCTAGTGAGAACGGGCAAACGCTATTAGGAAATTTTGCCCGGACAGCAGTACTACGACTTACTCTTATTTCGAATTACAACTGTCAAGGGTTTATTTAAGTGCACACCAATGTGTACACGGGACCTCGGGGTTTCGTCCCATCCGAACGACAATACATTGTCCCCTGCCAGGCCCCCGTCCTGCATCGCTGTCAAGGGGGATATCAAGGTGAACTTTCTCGGTCAACACAGGGATCGAACAGAGGACCTCCATGTTAGCCAGCCAACGTCTTACTCACTGAGCCAATGGCTCCCCAGATAATGACAAAAATAATGGTCTCGTCGATGATGACGATATGAATGATACACATATAAGGTTGGAGCCCGAGCCTTATGGACTGGCCATGGCTACAAAAACATAATGAAATTTGACATTTATTTCAATGAATCTATACAGCTACAGTCAAAGGTGTGAACATTATATTCCTGATCTTGACTAGAGAGAGAGAAAGAGAAATGGGGTTTAACGTCCACTCGACACAAACTAGGTCATTTTGGGACTAACGTGTGGTTTAATTTTATTTCAATAATTCGCTTTCGCGTAGGGGTCTTTTGCAGTGGAGGGAAACCGGAGGACCCGGAGAAAACCCACGAGGTTGGACAGGCGATCCTACTCCTTGTCACGTACAACCGGGGATTCGAAACCACGCCAGTTGACTCAATGACAAGCCTTATGATACAGCGCGCACGTGCTAACCATTCGGCCATCCAACCCCCCCTTCTTGACTAGAACAAATTAAATAATCAAATTGTGTTGAGCGGACGTTAACCCACATTTCATCCCTTCCTTCCTCAAAGGACAAAACATAAACTTTATCAAGTTTCTCTTTACTTATTTTCAAAGCAATAGTATTGAATCCTATATATTTGGTACTCTTATATCAAGATGAGATAATGTTTCTGTTATGACATATAAATCAGACTAACATAAAGCCCATACATCAAAAGAGTATCTGGATAACAAGATATGGGAACCAAGATGTCTACCAGTCCAGGTGGTCAACAGATTATCAATATGATTACATGAACACATGGTGATCTGGTCAGTTTATCTCCAGAAACACATCTTCTAACTCGACTTTTATTGCTATAATGATTGGTCAGTTCTGAAACAGACTTTCTATAACATGACACCCTAACTCCATTTACATTGGCAATAATAATTGGGTCAGTTGAATAGATTTCCGTTTTCAATGATTTAAAATTGGACAGAAACGTTCAATTTCTGTCACCTCATACTTTATTCATTAAAGTTGCCCAACCTGATCCTGTAATTTTCTGACAATACATAGACAGAAATGAGTTATTTGTCAGCAGTCAGCTAACGCTCTGAGATAGACATGAAAAAATCATTAGAACGGAAATGTAACTTGAGGTGGCCATAACTTATTTTAGGACTGACCGATTTTGATATTTTGGGGCCATTATTAATGTCCACTCAACACAAACAAGATCATTTCGGTTCAAACGAGAAAACCAATGAGGTTACGCAGGCATCATGACACCCTAGAAGGGTGGGTTCGAAACCATACCATTTTTAAAACTCAATGACAGACCCTATGTTCCAAAGTGAACGCTTTACACCCGCCTCTACCCTTCTCCTCATGGGGAGAATCATATGAAGTATAACTTTGGCCGTAATATGTACTGGGTACTAGAGAGTGGAAAGGACGCGTATTCCACTGGGAACGAAAAGAATTAAATCAATTTTTTTTTTGTTTTTTTTTTTTTGTTTGTTCCGACGTTGTGAATGACGTTGTATTACGTTATATCTAATATCTATCAACACCTGCAGAAATTAGGGAGAAAAACCTCTAATAATAACTATTAACTTGTATTAACCTATAATCTTAACCTGATTAATAATTTATACAACTGGTATTTATCAACCAACTGTTTTATATACACGGAATAAAGTGGGCTTCATAACACATTAAATTTTTTTTTAGCAATATTAGAGAATGGCGATTGCCAAACCAAAAAACAGTAAATGCCACTTTCCTCTCAGCCAATCATTAGACATTATGGAATATTTTTGACAGTGAATACAAATTTAGAGATATTTTGTCCAGACTAAAATTGTTGTAATTCATAGAAGGTATAGACTGTTAGGCTAGGATGATTGGGACTAGAGCATGTTATTTGACCATTTAAGTAAATTTAAACCGGTTTCATCTTGTTTTCCTAAATATTATAACTATCTTATATTCAGTGTACCCCCCCCCCCCCCGCACTCAAAATCGGAACTCTGGTCTACTGCAAGCAAAGTGATTTACATGAAATAAACCATTCCAAAAATCGGCATGCGACTCAGAAGACTAAACATAAAATATCTGTGTTTCAGTAATGGATTGGCTGCCAATTTGTCTCAGATATGTTTACAGTTGAATACGAGCAGGATTAACTTAAACATGCATTATGCAAGAGCTAAATCTGATTATTGCAAGTCTTAATTTAGGCTTCAGATGTTATAGAAATTATAAATTAGATCTTTATTTAAACAACAAGATCAAATCAACTCTGTAGACCCACGGATGGCTCGGCTACAGCTCGGATTTAAATAGGATTTCACTAATTGATTAATTCAGATAAGGGGTAACCTGATGAAAATACCTCTGTTAGATCGAGGCTAAATGATAGAGTGTACTTAGCGAGGCCGCTGTAAAGCGTTTCCGTATGCCATTGAAAACTTTACTTGATAATCGAGATATGTAGGTGGAGTTAACGCCTGTCAATCAAACGATCAGCGAAGGTGTAGACACAATTCGCTACCATTTCTAGGCAAATATTACAACGATGATAACTATGTTCAGAATAAAGTAATTATACTGAATTTTTCAATATATTCTTCTTTCATCATCTTCTTTTGAACTGTAATAGCAAGAATGGCCAACTCTCTATAAAAATCTCCCATAATGTATCTTTAACTTTAGACGAATGCACGGCGAAGTGATAGTGATAGCGCCACTTTAAAGCGCAATACCATATACTGCTGTTTTTGTAAGATTTACTGATATATGAAAGCAATTAAATACCTAATCACTCAAATCCCTCAGTAAAGATTTTTAGTACAAGAACAAACGTTAGCTTTAATAAACGTCTGTAATATTGTAATCTCGGACTGGAATTCTCTGATGAATACCAGAGTTAATAATCATTTCCGTTTCTTGTGGATTTTTACTTGGGTTATAGTATAATATATTCCAGATTTATATCAAACGTTGAATTATTCAATGTTTGGCATTCCGACAATAAACTTCTAAGATAAGCATAATAAAATAATTTGATTATTTTTCGTGTATCTGAATGTGATTTAAATCAGTGGATTTGAATATATTCGAAATCCTGATTTACCAATGCAAAAACTTTAAAAGATTGATTGAAATTGTTATTCCGTTGATTGCGACAGGGAGGTAAGGCACTAGTTGTTCAAGTCTATATTTTTAAGGCGTATGAATCGGTAATCAGAACTACTTTATGCATGGAAGAACATACGTGATAAAGATATAAGCTGATTCGTGTCTTATGCCTGATTTAAGACGGATTCAGATTATTATTGTCAATTATTGTAGCAATTTTATTAAACATTTCAGTCAGTCAGCTTCTATTTACAAACATATTTATCGATGCATAATCTACCTGACGACCCCGTATACATCTGGAGTGCCCCGGGGAAGAACGATCTAAGTCACCTTTTCAATGAACCCCAGTTAATGGCGCCATCTGGTAGAAAATTGTATAAACTTTCTGTGGACCAATCAATTTCAGGTAAAAACGATCGGAGTTACATAGAACCAAGGCCCTTCTGAAATAGCCTCCCGGACAAATACATTATTTGACCTTAATCTGGCTGAAAAGTGGAAGTCAGTTGTTGCTGGTAATTATGATTCGTATTAAACATCACTTTGAAGTTGTAATTAAACCCACTAGTAGTTCTGTTCGTGTCAAGCATTCTCGTCCAAAAGTCTGTTTTGCCTTTTATGTGAAAAGACAAAAATGTGACTTAGATCGTTATTCCCCTGGACTCTTCATCTGTGTTAGTTATTGCTTTTCCTACACTTATCCATCAACAGCAGGCTGATTACATTTGATTGTTTGGAAAAAGGCCCATCTAAATTATCAACATCCCGCAGTTCTTTATTTATGAAACGCAAGTCTTTGATGAGTATAAATAATAAAGAAGATTTTGCGCCCATTTTCATTTGAAGATTTCTCCGCAGTAAAATATTTTATTGAAAATATCTTCAACCACTTGCCTGATACTTTGTCTCAAGCCTAGGTGGATGCCATGACAACACTGTGCACATTCTGATACATGACCATTTGAAGACTGCCCTAATCTACGCAATATGCTAAGCAATATTACCCAAATATTTACCAAATGACCAGATTCTTTGGCCCGAGGACACCCATCAAAGAGAATTCAGTGAAAAGTTTCGACGAAGAAGACACTCACTTGACGAGATATTTAAACAGTGACCACGACAGTCGTGTATGTAGGCCTGAGGTCGTGCTTTTAGATCTTCTATATCACACGTTTTCCCGCCATCTTCTCCACATCTATAACATAAAACTTGCGACGGATTTTGATTATTAGGAATAGTGCTGCCATCTAGGATATTGTCTTGACCCTTATTTCCGGAACCATCCGTACTAAAATCAAACATGGCTGCCAAATCGTCGTAGTTGATATTATCACCAGAACCTGAAAGAACAAATATATTGAAAGGATATTTTAATAACATTGACCAAATCGATCCTATACTTAAGTCTTATGGGCGAAATGAACAGAATCAGGCCATAGAGAGTTTATTCTAGAGGCTACAATTTTTTTCTGATTTAGATGAAATTTAAAATATATTTTCAGGATCAAAAAGATCTCGGACGAGATTCAGTTTGGTGCCCATCGGACCTCCTGATTTGGAGTTATTCCCCTTTTTTGAAAACCTTGTTAATCGCGATAGAGGCTATAGTTTGGTTTGAATCATTGGGTCCACACTGATCAGCAGTGAATATTCGCTAGGCCTCTACAATCACTGATAAGGATGACATCAATGCGACTTAATGAGTCTCAAATATTGACTTTTTTCCACCGACAAATTAAATTCTAAAACAATTTTTGATGTATTAGAAAAATAAATAAAGACGTATGACGTATTTGTAGATAAAAATTATTTTCTATTTAGTGTAAATGGGTATTAAAATGATTAAAGGGCAGCATTCTGCCCGAAGCAGTAACGTCTTATGTAAACAATGCACGCGCCATTCAGCCAATGATTGTCGCCGCGTGCTGTGACGACACGTGTTAAGGGAGTCATCTTTTACAGAGATATTAGAGAAGACTCGTAATTCTCTGTGAAACAGATTGCATTGGGTCATGACTCCACCATGAGAGGATGAATCCTGTTGATAATCAGGTTTCTTCGGCCTTTCGCCTCTTAGCCAAAAACATTGTGAAGGTGATAGATGGTTAGAGTTTTTAACAAATCTGTTTCAAATTTGGTCCATGAGAGGACGAACACTATCAATATTCACCGCCCCGCAACCTTTTGTTCCAGAATTACCCCCATTTGCTAAAAAACGTTGTGAACGGAATAGAGGCTACAGTTTTTAACAGTTTTGTTTTCAAATTCCATTTGAAGCAATGGGACAATGAGAGAATGAGGAACCCTACAGATTTTCCCCAATGCCCCGTCCACCTCTTGGAAAATATGGCAACCGCTTGTTGACCGAGTTTCTAGAAGGGAGAGGAAACCAGAATACCCAGAAAAAAGTCACGAGGTTAGGCCTACTCCTTTGTAAAGCACTAAACCCAATTATATGGAGGATTAAAGTGACTGCCCCATAACATAAATATCATATTCATCAAGAGAAAAATCACATTATTGTTTCGAGTACTTGAAAGGGAACGTTCCTTTAAACAATGAAAATAATCTATTAGACTAAAGATGCAATTCATTAGCCAATTTCAAACAAACGTGTCGTCTGAAGGCGTCATGAGTCTAACAAACGGCTTATCTGTAATAGACTTTAACTAGAATAAAGTGAGTACGGTTATATTGTATATTTTCAACAAAAGATGGAGAAATCGATCATTGTGAAACCCTAGAAAAACTGGTGCTCCAATAATTTATTAAAGAAAGTCTATATACATCTATTGACAGGAGATGTATTACATAAAGTACTTCCCTAAGACATGCAATATTACAGCACAATTTACTGCTTTTATTGCAAATAGCGGAACTTCAAACATACAGGAAGCCATGTGAGAATGTGTTTCTATACAAATTTGTTGGGAAGTTAAAATACGTATTATGTCCAAAAGGGTTCATGTTGTTACTTTATTCCTTCTGACAAACAACTTAAAAAAAAAAAATAAAGAAGGCATCATTATCTCAAAGCCTCCAAACAACATTAAACCCAAACATTATGCACTAGCTAACAAGATTGTGGCGGAAGTAATCGTTAGCATAATAATGAGTAGAAATGTTTTCAGCTGAAGCTGAATTTTGTTTCCTCATCGGTGAATGTCAATTAGTAGTGTCATCATGTTTTAAAGTGATTTATGCCGGGGTAAAGTTAGATACTCCAATTGTTTTGCATAGTTGGACAGTATTTTTTATCAGATTCACACCTACATTACTTATGTTAAACACTAAAGCTCTGCACAGTTGTGGGGTGTGGGGTTGGGGGGTCAACATTTGTCTTGCTCAGCCATATACACATAAAAATTCTCTCTGCGGCCCTGATGATAAATGTTATAGCGTGTACAGTTGTTCAAAAGAGTGCTAATAAGATTCAACATAATATAAGAACATGGCTAAGTATCCTTCAGTCAGTCAATTTAATCCATCAATGGATGATTTTGACATATTGTCAATAAATACATGTCTGTAAGAAATCTTTATTGATATTTTATTAGGAAGCGATACCATCATACATTTATCTACAACGGAATTGCTCAACTGAAAAAAACTGTTTTCTTTGACTTACAGAACATCTACCCGCGCAACCATATCAATCCCAATTCCGCCAACAAAACCCCATCATAATCCCAATTCCGCCAACAAAACCCCATCATGCCCAGCTTCCTATTCTAAGCTAAAAAAAAAAAGTCTCGAGAACTAATAACAAATATATATATTTTATTGTAAATGAAATGTGTTTTATTGTCTTACGTTTCGGCACCAACCGTGCTGCCGAAGACGGACTAACGCTATGCAGTGTGTTATACAGGAAATTTTGCCCTGGCAGCGGTGTTTCCGCCTACTTTTCATTGAATTAAAACTAGAATGATTTCTGAAGTGCTAGATGCTGTTACTTGCTAGACCCCATCACATACACAGCTGACATAGGGAAACCAGACTGGAAAATCCCGAGGAAACTTCACGGACAGCACGGGACAGGGGCGGGTCCAGGATTTTCAGATAGGAGAGGGGGGCGTACTGCCCCCACTTGGGAGTGCGAAGCCCGGCCCTCGGTGGGCGGACTGACATAAGAACACAGGGACCGCCAATTTCTCGTACGACGGGGATCACTACCATTTTTAAGTATTTTTGTTCTCCTTTCCCGCGAGAATATATGGGGCAAAAATTGTTTGCCACCGCAAAACATGGGGGAGGGGGGGCGTCCGGCCATCAGTGGATTTTTTCACGCAATGACAAATTTGGTTTCACGCAATACATCAGGATATCTTCCTTTAAATACCAGAGTATCTATTTATAAATACTTGTATAAGAATATATAAGTTGGCTTCCCATGTAGCAATGATATAAATAGCGGAAGAAATTAGAATTAATGAGCTTATCATGAAACGAGATAAATGATATAAAATATTTATACAGAAATTACCCTCAGTGAGTAAACACAATTTAATTCATAGATCAAAGTTTGCAAAGGTCGTTAACTTGTTCAACATTTAACCGTCTAAACAAACAGATTATCAAAAATTTCGCGTCGGCTACATATGTGTTTGCAAATGTTGATTTTGAATAGTGTGTATAGTAGCTTCTTTGAAAAAAATGAAATAAAAGTTTGACGTCCCAATTTCCTGCGTTTCCACCTTTTCGCCTAGCCTTCACAGAAATCCAGCCCTCTATATTTCTATAGAAATAGTAAATAGATGGAAACTTAGTTATCTAGCTAAAGAATCTGAATAAAAAAATAACAAATTCCAATTTCGTTTCAGTTTATGTTTTATGATGTAATACTTTAGTGAAAAAGTCGCAAAACGTTACATTTGCTTTGCTATGCATTACCATTTCCCTGAAGATAATGATGTTGAATGCAGAAATTGCAGGGGAAGTTGTGTGTTAGTAAATATTGATGTATGGGTTAGGGTTAGCACTTTTGCATAATTTTATTTAAAATATCGGTCCACTCTGATTAAATAAAATTCAATATTAAACCACACACAAGCTGTTTATATCTGTTGTCTTGACGGCATGGACTGAAAACAACCTTCTGGTTTCATCGATCAGGGGTGGCGCATGCAGTGTCGACAAAGGAAGTGTGTTCTTATTTTTGAGATGGTAGAAAAAATCATCGAGTTTCCGTGTACAGATTTGTGGTGCATGTAAAACATCCCTTAGCAGTTGAAAAAGTAGACAGAAAGGTCGAAGTACGACCTCCACCCCACCCGATCCACTTTGCATAGGTTACATAGGTAACCACTGAAATAAAATGATTTAAGTAAAGTTTCGACGCGGTGTTAAATCACATTCCATTCCATTGCCACTAGTTGTCCTTTTAAACCCTACAATATGGTTTGTGTTAATTTTTCACCAGGGTAGAATTGTTGTAATAATAACATGACATTTGTCTAAGTTTTTTTAAGAGCCCAATTAGCAACGAGCGTAACTTTCCCGCCATTAAACACTATACAGCTATATGGGACAATTTAACTTGGAATTAAACTAATGATACACCGCCTGAGGCTTATGATAAACTTCATAAAACACATTTGTCGTTCGCAAAATTTGAACCGAAGCTTAAAGAAGATTTTCCAGACAAATTGAGCTAGAGGGAAATTTGGTCTAAGATTATTATCATCTTAAAAGATGAACTGATGTATTCTGTAAAACCAAACCATTAATAAATCAGTCAACATGCTTTTATAACCTTCTTGGTTATAATTTGTTTTGAATAGAAAAAATATCTGGTCAAACGCGATGGCAGCCGGAAGGATATTTACTATATGAAAGTATTAACCCACACGTTGACTTTATTAACAGACGGCGTCGCAGTGGGTAAGGCGCTGGATCGCTAACCAGGAAATCTCTGTTTAGATCACGGTGTTGGCCACAGATCACTAAAGATTTGCCCATTGACTTTAATGTTAATTCTCGTCGCTTAGACCGGCTCTAACTTTTTCCCAAATTTTCGTTGGGTAGAATGCTTTCTACCACAGATGGAGCAACATGTGGCAACCTCTTGCCCAAAAGCACGTATGAGTTTCACCATGGAAAACTTGAGATACACAAGCTGGAAGTAGAGACAAGAAAACATGCAATTTTGGACCCTACATTTCAACCTAACCAACCTCTCAACTCTTGTATCCTTCCGCCTCAAAATCATGAATATTCACCAAAACCTGGCAGAAGATGTATTTTCAAACCCTTTTCTTAAATTCCACACCAAAAAGTCAACAAAAATAGCCATGCAAAAGGGGAAAAAAGGGAAAAGGAGAGAAAGACTAAAAATAAC